GTTGGGAATCTCATTCCCGGTAATGTTTTATTACCAATAGTAGATTTTTTGGGGTATATTACCGGGAATGTCATTACCTCCCTTCCCTTAGGTATTGTAACATTACCGGCGTTTTGGATTAAAATGCCCTTAAATTTTTATTTTTTTTCAAAAATATCATTCTTTTGTCATTGAATAATAAAAATTCTACGAAGGTTAAATTACAAATTTATCCTTAAATTATTTTAGATTTACAAAAAAAAATCTATAATTAAAATTTTATATGAAGTTCAGAGGTTAAAAAAATTTACCCTTTCATTAAACCTTTTTTATATTTTTAATTTTGTAAAATAAATTATATAAATATTATGAATTTAATTTTTTAAAGAATATATATAAATATTTTACAATTTATAATATTATACAAATATATAATAAGTACAATTTGGTCAAATATACATTCTAATAATCTTTTATTCCTTTAACCAAACACGGTAATCTTACATTCTTGCTAAACCAACCAAACACAAAATACAACATTTTCAGTAATCCTATTCTCTGATAATCTTTTATTTCCACTGATAATTTTACATTCCGTGAACCAAACGCACCCTAATAGAATTTTATTAGAGGAACAGCTGAAAATACAATGATTTTACTTTTAACTAGAAATAATTTTCTCATCGAAACCTACTGCCAGTGCCACCAACAATTTGGTCTGCCTCGGAAATCCATTACAGTTGCTTTTCCGACACCTCCTATTATAGTACCAATAATTTGGTACCAGGCTCCCCTTCATGGTTGTGTTGGGGCAATGATGAGTCTGGGAGTGAAGACCCAAATATATGGTGACAATTGGGGCTGTGTAGTGCTCGGCGATAGTTAATGGCAGTTGGCGAGGGCGTTGATTATAATGGAGGAGGCAATTTGATAAATTTTATAAATGTAGAGATTTTTATTTATTTATTTAGAATCATAATTAATATAATAAAAATATAGAATATATGAATATTAAAGATTAAATGTGTTATTATATTAACAAAAAGAAATTATATCATAAATATATAAATTTAAACATTTGAAAAAAATATATCTAACAATATAAATTATTTAAAAAGTTGCACACAAAAATTCTAAAATAAAGGGAAAACCAACAAATATATAACCGAACAAGAGTACCAAAAAGATGCAGCTCGTAATTAGGGATGTGTAATTTCGAATATCAAATTCAATCTAATTCAAAATTTCGAATATCTGAAAATTTCGAATATCTAAAATAGTGATCTATATCTAATCCGAAAAAATCGGATATCTGAATTTTCAAATATCTGAATTCACGGATCGGATATCCAAATATTCGAATCTGAATTTAAAATTTAATTTGAAAAAAAAATTAAAATTAAAATTTTGTGATTCAATATAACTTATTAGATACTTCTACTATATTTTATAAATTTAATTACTCAAACACAATAATTAAATAAATATCCTATTTTTTATTGGGTTAAAACTATGATAGGTTAGTAAGTTACTTATTTATTAGGCTAAATAGTATCTAAAATTTAAGGGCCTGATTTTGTTCGGATTTTCAGATAATCTAAAATTAAAATTTATTCAACTTGTATCTAAATTTTTTTAGGCGTCCGATCTAAATTATCCAAAAAAAACAGATCAAATATCTGAATTTTTAGATCAAATTTATCGTACAGGGTGTTTTTGCACACGCCTACTTGTAACTTCAAATCTTTTGAAGTGCAAATCGCAGTTATGGAGTTGAGTGTAAGCTATTTTTCGAGTTATTCTTGCCTGACAAGCTCCACGTGCTTATAACGTGACTGGGTGACTCGATTACCAAACATAGACACCAATGGAAATAGGAGCGACTAACTAGCAGAAATTCAACAAATCCTATGCATGAGCATTAATTTCGTTGGATCATCTTTTCTTCAATATCAACTCATCAGTATATAGAAATTCCATCTTAGCATTTTAGAATATTAGTTTTAGTTTAACAATCAATTACTTAGGAGATGACAATCTATGACTCGCGTCTATGAATTGTAACATTCACATTTATAGTTTAAATATGTAATTTTAAATTTTAATACTTCAATCATGAGTTTATACATCATGTATATTTCTTATAATGTAAGGAAGAAGCATATTACTTAAACATTGCAAAATTTTCAGATATTATTAACTTATGATTTCTTGGTTCTTCATTATTTTGTTGATTTAAGATGAGCTCTTAACGGTGCATTTCATAGCCTTTGAAAAAGAACCTGCATAACAAAACAGTGTAAAATTGCACGCATGCATTCATTACATACCTTTCTGCAAGCACACTATAACCTAATTCATGAAAGTCTATCCGGAGATCAACCTCGAGGATCGACATAAACTCGCGGTGTAAGTTTATTTCCGGTCTCTGAACCGATCTTTTTCATGTAAGGCAGACTATTTGATTTGCGTTACTGAAGCAGCGATTGTGTACATAACATAATATAGTGCTAAAGCCTCCATTTCCGGGTTTCAAGTAGGTGACCGATTCAGCTCCCCGTTGAAGTTCCATCATTTTGCTGATTTACAATAGGACCTCTTTGAGACTGAGGTGAATTAACAGCTCTAGGGGATTGGACCTGTGGTTGAGTCATCGTTTGCAGACCATGTTGCTGCTGTGATCAAGCCAGCCCTCTTATTCTCCACCGGAGGATCTCAACAACGAAACAAGTCTCATTCATCGCAACACCGAATCCAGAAAATGTTGCCAGGAGAATTGACAGAATTGCCTGTACTTTCACCTGCAGGCAACAAACATCAAAAGTGGATGGATATGAGTCAACTCTGTACTTGCAAACATCCAAGGAACTTGGTGCTACTCAGCAAAGAATAAAATATATGAGCAAAGACAACCACCAACGAAAATTGAACCAAAGGGTAAACCCAGACAAATCTCCGCTGCACTGAATACAAAAGATGCAGAGGTTTAAATCAAGTTATAGAGAATAATTTAGCAGGAATTTCCTATAAAATCTCACAGTAGTGACAGCATTTCCCAGGCTAATCAACTATGGTTTCTCTCTATCCACTGCAAGTGCCTGCTACATATTCAAGCATGCATATGCATGAAACTAGAGTTGGACCGGCTTCTAACTAAAACGGACAAAGGTGAAACCGAAATGGTGCTTGTAACTATAAAATTTAAGCTGGTTTCTGCTGACCATGTTCCTATTTCGTATGGAACATGACACTGAAGTATTGAAAAAAGAACAATATATAAACGAACCGAAGGATGTTCCAGAACCTACCCATTGTTGATGATGTCATGGATGAAAGGAGGCCTAGCAAACATGAAAATGGAAGAGATATGGCAATAGCTCCAGTACCCATTTTTCCAACCTGCAGGTAAAATATATATATGTGTGGGTGTGTGAAGGATATGAAGTTTAAAACAGGGCAAATCCGAAAAAGAAACTGCTTCCTACCAGAAGTTGCTCAAGAAAACAAAAGTATGCAAGCATGCTGACGATAACAAGAACAGGGATCTCCTGCCAAATCCTGCAAACATCAAACTAAAGTTCAGCAATTATATTTTTATTGGTATCCTAGAAGTTTCAGCAATCATAGGTATATAATTCCATCCATTAACAAACAGTTTGTTACCTATTGCCGGGTGCATCAGCCTGAAAGCCTCTACTTGTTCCGATTCGTAAAAGTGTGACAGGTAGGTTCTGAACCTCTTGCTTGCACACATCACGTGTCTTGTTGCCTCTGACGCTGAACCATTTCACGGCGCAGTCTTTGTGCGCCAAAGCTAGCTCGCCTTTGCAGCTGCATTCCATCTTCAGTGTTTCACCTCCTTAGTGCAGTTCAGCCAGACAAATCCTACACACAGCATCTTCTTCAGGTATGTCCTCGCCATCAGGGTCATTGTTATCTGAACAATAATCTCTCAATAAGAGACCCTGGCTTGTAATGATAGTTAATAGATCCCACCAGTGTCAAGGTCTAATGGTCTAAGACTCCATTTCCGATCCCAATGGCATCTTCGAAACCACAAGGACTTTCGGGAAACAAAGGGTTCACATTTATTGGCAACAAAGTTACAAATGCTAACACGCTCGTATGCCTTGCAACAACTTTCAAAGTTGAACATACACATAAAAATATAGATAAAGACAATGGAATACCAGCATCAGGTACCATAGAAGCATTTGAACTTATTTCTCCTTCCTTAACTCGTGGATTCGAGGGTATCACTCGGAAAAATAAATCCATTCTCCTCAACTTTCCTTCTTTGTCGTCTACGGGAACAGAAAATGAACGAGATAGCTGCAACACGTTTCCTTTTTTCTGCAAAGGAACTAAAAACATCAAACAGCATGCACTCAAAATACTTGCACGGAATTGACTAACTTCCGTAACTTCTACTTCACAATAACACAGTTTCAAATGCTCTTCATTTAACATTAAGGCTATCACTTATACCATGTTCCTCATCTAGCAATTATATACCGTGCCTTATGCATTAAAGTGAGAACTGAGAGCCCAAATAGGCAATGAAATATCACAAAACTTACATTAGAATATGCAGAGCCACCAAAGCTTCCACTGCTCGTAGGTTCCGGGTTCGAATTAGCAATATGAGTTACAGGCAACGAAGACATCCTTTTTATCCTTAAAGTAAATATCTTTGAAAGTGACAATGTCCTTGAGATGGAGGGCTTCACTGTTTGTAAAGTAGAAGATGATGCTAGAGCAATGGCTGCAGCCTTTTCAACGTCTAAATTAACATTTCTCTGCTTGAATCCTAGTTTTGGTAAGAGACTTTCCAAGGAAGATTTGGCTCTAGATGAGGAGGGATCTGGGGGTCCACTAGTTCTTGCATCTGATGGACTTAGTGTCAAGAGGAAGTTCACTCTCCTGGGAGTAGGACTCGGTGCTGTCGGCATCGTTATTATGACCGACTCTTGAGAGGAGTCTTGGAAAGTTTTCGAGGGTACCTCTAGGGAGAGATTGCTTCATCTCCGATGACGAGAATGAGTTGTATCTTCAGTTTTTCCTGTTGAATCTTCAACCTGAAATGCAAACGTTAACAAAAATTTATCAGTATGCTGGAAAAATATACAGAGATGAATTGGCCTCGGCAGTTGGCAACTAAGACGAGCAGACCACTTTTCTTCCAAGTGTCCCAAGAGATGAACTGCCCTTGGCGAATGTCCCAAGAGAGGACAGGGCAGGGTGATTCAGCTCACGTTTAACTGCTTTTCTCGGATTAGTGGTGCGATTTCAAATTCAGCGGTACAAGTATTCTTTTTTAAACATTTAACTGATTAAATAGTATTCTTACATCAAGTAGACATGCATGATCTGCATCATAGGTGAATTAGACACGTTCATTCATAGCAATACCACATTTCCAGCTATGGATTCTCATAGTAAAGGAATGCAGCAGGTTCTGAGCTTACTTCTTTTTTTTTTTATATAAAATTCGACTGAATAAGATTAACCAGAGCTCAGCAGGAATAGGGAAACAGCCAAAGCTTCACGCAAAACATTCAAAGTTGTCAGAAGCCATGCATAGCGCCAAAAAAGATGGCCTTTTTGTTCAAAAACAACCATTTGGTAGGCATTAAAAAACATGGAAATTCTCCACAATAGCAGTCCTACTCGATCCAAAAAAAAAAACCCCCAACAAAGAAGATAGAAATGAAAACTTAAAACAAAGTCCTGTTGAACTGAAAATGTTCCTTTGTTTGGACCACCTCCAAGATCATGCTCCTCAGTCACATGTTTCTCTTGATTCATCATTTTTTTCATCATAAACAAAGGAAAGGGATGAAGATAAGAAAGGGAGTTGTTGTAGGGTTGTTTGTTTATATTAAAAGTGTGGGGAATGAACAAGTTCAGTAATTTAAGAGTTGAGAACAATGTTTCTCATGTAAGGCACACAAAAAAAAGGGGAAAAAAAAGATGGTGGGCTAGCTATACAATGGATTTCTTACTGACATTCTTTCTCTTTCTCTCCCATCACAATAATATCAACAAATTAACACACTTTTCACTTCATCTACTATTGTCTAATTTCTTAAACCTAATGTGCTTATGGACAAAACCCCATCTTTTTTCAGTTCTTTGTTCAGTCAAAGACTTGTTTATGTATAAAAGACTTCATCAGTGTGTTCGAGTAAAAGTTGCGTATGGAGCTTGGGTTTTAAAGGTGTTTTTATGTCTCGAATCTCTCCTTAAGCATCACTTCTTTGTTTGGCGTGAGAATTTTCATTTGTGCCATGTATAAGGAAATTCTCATATACCATACATATATCTAGAAATAGAAATTTGTTGCTAGGGCAGCAGAACTAGACTCAACTCGAAAAATCAAATTTTTCGACTCGACTCAACTCAAAAAAACTTGACTCGAAAAAATTTCAAGTTCAAATCTAGTTATAAAATGCAACTCGAATAACTCGAAACTTTTAGTAATTAGTGGATTTATTTTCAAGTTTGAGTCGAGTCCTTAGACTTTATATATATATATATATCACATATGAAAAAAAATAAAAAAAAATAAATTTGTTTTGTATATATGGTTATAGAAAGTCATTTAAATTGGAATCGAATAATATTATAAATATTTGCAATTAAATTTAAACAAAAACTCGAAAAATCAACTCGACTCAAAAAAATTTCAAGTTAACTTCAAGTTATAAAATATTACTCATCAACTCGAATAACTCGAAATTTTTTACTCGACTCCATCGAACGCCCCTACTTGTTGCCTATGAATTATGTCCATTCATTGGAAACTTGGAACGTTTATAATTAATGCAATTTGCTAGCTTATTGGACTCATGCACCCCTCACTAAAATTTTTTTCTTAATCTAAAACTTCTATATATAAAAAAATTCTAGTAAAAAAGGGTCATATGTAAATATAAAAGAGATTTTTTTTCTTTTTTTCTTTTTTGAATGGAAAGGCAGGAAACAAAACAGGATTTACATAGCTGCTAACTCCTACGTCCACGGGTGGGCTTTGATAAACATGAAACCCAAAGGGCCATTTCCACGCCAAATTTGTCATGCAGTCCGCCACTCGGTTATATTCTCTTGGAGCAAAAACAAAACGAACCTCCCACGAACGCTTCACAAGTTCTTGGATATGATGGACCATCGAGGAACCTACCCCAGATCCTACCCGAGTCTGAAGAACCAAAATGGCCTCTTTGCAATCCGATTCCACTGTTATCCGACGTAGACCCAAATCCCAAGCCAATTGCATGCCTTTAGTTTGAAAGTGTCCCGTCACTATTGTCTCCTACTCATCCCTTCACCAACAAATGTGGAAGTTACTTTGGCTTCTTTACAGAGTCGAGCATGGGGAAATGTAGGCTTTACCTTTTGAGTGGCTTGTAGAGTACAACAGTCACGTATTTGGACTTCAATCTATGGGTCAATCCAAGGGCAACAAATTTTTCGATATGCAAACGTTTGAGGTAAACGACTGTTGGAGCACAAATTTACAAAGAGTTCATGGTGTTTACGTTGAAAGTATCGAAGCACGATCTATAAAACAAGGTACCTTCAGCAACAAATGTGGAAGTTACTTTGGTTTCTTTACAGAGTCGAGCATGGGGAAATGTAGGTTTTACCTTTTGAGTGGCTTGTAGAGTACAACAGTCACGTATTTGGACTTCAATCTATGGGTCAATCCAAGGGCAACAACAGACTGCGATGCCCATCCTTTCTGTATGAAAAGGTGGTTAAGTACAACATGTTGAGGCTTCGAGGAAGATGCTCCATCTTGATCATCTGTATCAAGGACAGTTAAATGCAGCTGGGATGGAACTACAGCAGGCTCTTTCGCAAAATCTTCTTCAGTTGGAAATGCTTGACCATAACTGGAATTTGGAGATGCCGGAGCCTCGAATTCGGTTACACTATCTAGATTTTCAGGTACATAGTCCTGCAAGGAATAGTGAAAGTCATTAAAAATACGAAAGCAAAGAGGCTTGACAAGAATTACCGAGATCTCCTTTATAGATAAGAAAAGAGAGTGAAGTGATAAAATCAAGAGAGAACCTATGTAGCACACATCTTTGTTATTAGTCCTGTGTGCTCAAAACAGTATATACCTTAAACCTCTCTTTTTAGTTTTTAAGCAATAACAACTGTTAAATTTGTAAATGCCAGTTTTGAATGCCAAACATTCATGCTATGCAACCCGAAAAGCACCATTAAATGAGGTAAAACAAACGTACATGATTCAAAAGTGAGCAGGAGTACATATAAGAAGATACATACATGTACATCAAGAAGATTAAAAACGTGGCCCATTTCATCAGATACAAAAGGCAGGTTGGGTGTATATTTCCATTCACCATCGACAATATACTTGTAATGGTATATGCCAGATGGAAGGACCAAAAGAATTGAGAGGTCACTACCTGATCTCTGTAGTGCCTTCCTGCAAAAGAATAACAATATACTCTATTATATGATGCCCATTGTTCGCTTTTCGACTAAGTGAGGAACAGCAGATCTCTTATGCATGAAAATGTGATCTGGAACTATAGACCTACCTTGATCTCCAATTGTCCCAAGAACCTTCCACGGCCACATCATTACCACCATAATTCCAAGTAATAATGACAGGGATTCCTTTCTCGGACAGACTATTGGGAATCCCAGGAGAACCATGTCGCCAAGCTTGGTTGAAAAAGGAATGACCATCAGTCCTTGGAAGTTGGTAAGGGAGCTACAGGAACCTGAAAATGCACCAAAAACAACCAACCAATCAGTTGAAATGCCACTACTCAGATGGACAAAACTCTCTACTAAATAGATAAACCATCAGCACACTTCTCCCTCTCCTAACTTGGCAATCCAAATAACAGACCACAGCATAAAATGATGAATACATGTAAATAAAATATGCCCTGGCCCCAAATAATTTTTAAGAAATAAAAATGACTATCTGACTGGGAAAGGAAACTAACAAATCAAAAGAAAGTAATTGAAATAACAATTTACACAATCAAGTTACTCGCAAGCAATGCGAATATCACCCCTAAAAATTTTAAGTGTCTAAAGCTCCCCAAGAATCTAAAAAGGAATTAAAAAACAAACATGTAAAAGGGAAACAATTCTCATGGACAAAAACCAATGTAAACGCCAATGAGATTGGAGATTCCAACAGTAAAGAAGATTCTGTTCCATGTTTCCAAACGTTGATTACTTCAGGGATATCAGCATTGGTTAGTCTTATCAAACACTATTCCTCCTCATCATGTGTCATTTATGCGTATAGTTTAGTTCGAACCAATCATCAGCTCAAAATATGATATTAAAGATTTAGTAACCCTCAAAGGCGTTACAATATAAGCAAAAAGATTAGGGGCTGTTTGTTTACTTCAGAATGATTAAGCGTTGAATGATTCAAATGCTGAATGATTCAGAGGCTCTGTATGAATTAGCTCTGAATGTGATATGTTGTTTGAAAATGGCTCTGAATCATTCAGAATATACTTCTGTGCTGAATCATTCAGTACTGTTTTGCTGAATCAGTCAGCACTGAATCATTCAGAGGTGCGGAACAAACGCGCTGAATGTTGAACGGTTCAGCATTCAGATCTGAATGATTCCATTAAGAGGCAAACAAACAGCTCTAACTTTCTAAAACAAGTTAAAAAAAACAATGAACCGAACCAAATCAAAGCATGACATACTAAAAGGATCCTTCGTACGTATTAGCTTCTAATCAACCATTTTAACGTAGAAGACACTTTTCGTTTCAAGCTTTTAACAATTTCTCAAAAAGCAAGACTAACTGCTTTTTTAAAAAATATTAACACCCTCATCGACCAATTTTTGCAGAATTGCCCAAATAATTACCAAAATACACGCTCAAGCTCTTATCTTCCATGTTTCATTCCATGAAACTATTCACAACTTCTAATCTGTTCTTCAGATGGTTATTTCTACTTTTACAACGAAAGCTCAGATCTTGCTAATTCAAATATATTTATTTTACTTACAAGCATTTGACTAATTTCAATTACTAAAAATAGAATAAGTTCAAAGTCCTGCAAAGATCATTAAAAATTTGAAGATGCGAACCTGAGGAACGAACAAAAGAGGAGACCGAGACCAGCGAGGACTCTGCGGCGGCGTATTCACCACTGAATCAGACGATGGCACGCGAACTCCAACTGCAGCGGCTCCACGAACTACAGGCTCGCCGCCATTGGATCTTCCCGATAGGTCGTCGACACCGCCGTTGGCTCCGTCTTCTCTTCCGTTTGCATTACCCATATCATCAACTTTCTTAATATAAGATTTTTCAAATATACCCGAAGAGAAAACGAGAATTAGATTAAAAGGGAAGAAAAACCTGTTCTGGCAATTGAATGAAAGCGGGTTTTTGAATTAACACCGGTTTTGGGTTTATTGACGGGGATCGACACTGGGAACGTGTTCGACTGCAAGTGCCGGGAAACGGTTGTTCTGATCAAAACCATGTCCTTTTTTTTATTCGTCTTCCGTTTGGCAGAACAGCTATTTGTATAAATTAAAAGGGGAAACGTTAGCATAAAACCGTTCCTATTTCCCTCTCGTGCATTCTCTTTTGGGTTGAAAAAGGTCAACTGAAAAATTTTCTTTTATGATCACTAAAAGTTGAAGGTAAAAGGTTAAGACAAATTGATCAGATGAGGAAGCTAATTGACTAAACCAGACTATACGGCAAAAGTTGTCAGGCTGATGAAAACTTGAACGAAAATAGAATAAAAATGGCTAAGTCCACGGGATAATGTGTTAGAAAATTTTATTTTACGAGATAATATTCTCGTCAGATTAATTGTTGAGTTGAGATAAGGCGAATGCTACAATCCTCACGTAGGTCGTCATGTACTCCCAACGACATGTATAGGTCGCCATGCATGCCATTAACATTAGCATGGATGCTGAATAGAATATGCACATATAAACTACCTGAAATCTAAAGCTTGTAATTAATATGTATATTATGGAAATAGTAAGAGTGGGGGTGGGTGTATTTGGCATGGGTCCTAGGTTTGTTTAAGACTTTGTGTCAGTTATCATTAACATTTGTCTGCAATAACGATGATAGGTACATGACTTCAACTAGTTGGATCGTAGGATTCCAACCATTCTCAAGTGTCCACCTGCATCAAAAAAACCAAAATCTCTCCCAATTACACCTACCCCACTCTTACTATTTCCAAAATATACATATTAATTGCAGGCTTTAGATTTCAGATAACTCATATGTGGCATATTCTATTCAGCACCCATGCTAATGCTAATGGCATGCATGGCGACCTGTCACGGTGGGAGTGCATGGCGACCTATACAGGTCGTTGGGAGTGCATGGCGACCTACGTGGGGATTGTAGCATTCGCCCTATCTCAACAATTAATCTAGCGAGAGCATTGTCTCGTGAAATAAAATTTCTCAGCACATTATCTCGTGGATTTAACCAAATAAAAATAGAAGAAAAATATATATTAGGAAAATGAAAAGAAATATTTCTTTATTAAAAAGCATTAGTTAAGGCGTTGGTAATCTTTAAAGTTAATATATTTAACTTAAAAACATAAACTAATGTAAGTAACTACATTTAGTCGGATTGATTAAGTTTTCATTTTTGTTCTCTCATATATGATTGTTATTGGCTTGACAAAAATGACAACCGTTATCGTTTGGAGTTCAAATCTTTTCCACACCGTTGGTGGAAATCTACTCTTTATTCATCGCTAACTGCAATTTAGAACAGTATAGAGATTAAAGTTTGTTTCTAAATTAGTTTTTTCTACTTTTAGTATTTAAAAAAATCCATTAAAAATACTAAAGAATCAATGATAATTATTAAAACTTATAAGAAATATATATATATATATATATATATATATATATATATATATATATATATATTGGTACAATGGTTAAAAAAACGACACAAGTCACTTAACTAAAATTTAATAACCGTTACGAATAAAACACATAAAATGACATCGTTTATAACATTATATATCTAAATTAACCAAAAAATAATCTATACATCTAAAAAAATGTATAATATGATCATTTATTTTTGGGTAAACTATGCAGATAGTCTCCTATGTTTTCTCTATGATCGACTTTGGTCGCCAAAAAAATTAAGGGAGAATGATATCGAACGTTATAAATTCGTTCAATTTAAGTCCTTTGTTATTAACTTAACCCCTTAATAGAATTCTTACGTGGCACTTAAAAAATCTATTTTTCTTTTTTTTCTTCTTCTTCTTGAGCTTAAAGCCTTCTACCCATGCCGTCTTTGTCACCATATCCACCAAAGCACGCTGCTATAATAACAAATGGAGCTTTGTCGCTAGCCACCCCACGAAGTACCTTTGTAGCTATGGTCACCGCACCACACTCTAATCTCCCACGACCCTTGCAAACAACCCAACACGTTGTAGATAAGTTGCTCTTTACTCTCTGACAAGATAAAAGCTACCGGCTTATTCGTGTCAGAAAATTGAAGGTTTTGAATCGAAAAAGTGATAAGATTATCATATTCATTGGAACGTACAACATTTATCTCCGAGTACTATCGGAACCAAAGTTGTAGTTGTCCAAAACACAAACGTTAGATGTCTTCCTTTTATTTTTTTCGGGTTCAGGTTTAGCCCTTGGTTTTGATGGTCGAAAATGCACTACTGGTAATAATCATCACGATGGGTGGTGGTGGTTAAGCAATGAAGATAAAAAATATACTCTTTTCTTTTCGAGGAACCTATTGTCGGACTCATCACAATCCTTCACTGGCCTACACCACCATTAGAGACGTTTTGACCGGAAAAGGTATAGCAATTTTCGTCGGAGAATGACCAAGAACTAGAGCTGCGACATGGGGGTTTTAACATTGGAAGGAGACGGTGGGTGGTTGGTTGGTTAATGGGGGAAGAATAAGAGAAGAAGAAAAAGAATTGGTGGGACCACATGATTTTTTTATTATTTTTTAATTGCCACATAATAATTTCATTAATGGGTTAACGGAAGGTAACAACGGAGGGACTTAAATTAGATGGATCTATAACGTTAGGAACTAAAATCGAACGAATTTATAACGTTAGATACCATTTTCCTTAAAAACTTTTCGGTGACCAAAGTCAGTCATAGCAAAAAAATAAGGGATTATCGGCATAGTTTACCCTTTATTTTTATATTAAGCTTAAAAATATTCAAAAAAAAACGATTAAAAGATCATATTAAAGGGTAATACGAATGGAAGCCCAGTCCATCTTCATTGGGTTCGGGTAGAAAATATGGGCTTAGATCCGACCCTTAAATCAATCTCAATAACGAGGCAGATCAGATAAGTGATAGTTGAGATCCGCTGTTTTCCCAGAAGCCCTATTTCTCCCCCCCCCCCCCTCTCCGACAAATCAATCTTTCGAATCTTCGTTTTCTCCATGGCTAAGAAGCGAAAGCAACGATCTTCTGCGGTCGAACCCACTAAAACAACAGCGGATCCTCAACCAATCGAAGAAGAAGAAGAAGAAGAAGAAGAAGAAGAAGAAGAAGAACAACAACATCAAGAATACATACCCGAAGATCCAAAACTTAACGTAGAAGAGGAAGAACTCCAGGAAGTTGAGGAGGAAGTTGAAGAAGAAGCAGAAGAGGAGGTTGAAGAAGAAGAGGAAGTGGAGCTGGATGAAGACGAGGAGGAAGACGAGAACGAAGAGGATGAAGATGAAGAAGAAGCGGAAAACCAAACCCTAGATGGAAACGGAGCTCCGAAAGGAACAAGTCAAGAAGAGGAATTGGACGATGAGCCTTTCGAGACACTTCTACAACCGTTTGAGAAAGATCAATTGATTACCCTTATCAAGAAAGCAGTCAAAAAGCACCCAGAGTTCATATCGTCGGTTCGTGAGCTTGCCGATGTGGACCCGTCTCAACGGAAGATCTTCGTTCACGGTCTCAGTTGGGATACCACTGCTGACACCCTCACCGCCGAGTTTTCTAAATATGGGGAAATCGAAGAATGCAAAGCGGTTACCGATAGGGTTTCTGGGAAATCTAAGGGTTATGCTTTTATTCTCTTTAAACATCGGAGTGGAGCTCGCCGAGCTTTGAAACAGCCCCAGAAGAAGATTGGGAATAGAACTACTTCTTGTCAGTTGGCTTCGCAAGGGCCGGTTCCAGCACCTCCTCCAACTGCACCGCCTGTGTCTGAGTATACTCAGAGAAAGATTTTTGTTAGTAACGTTTCTGCTGAAATGGACCCCGAGAAGTTGCTTGAGTTTTTTAAACAGTTTGGGGAAATTGAGGAAGGTCCGTTGGGGCTTGATAAGCATACAGGGAAACCGAAAGGGTTTGCTCTTTTTGTATACAGGTCGGTTGAGAGTGCAAGGAAGGCCTTAGAAGAGCCACACAAGAATTTTGAAGGCCATGTTTTGCATTGCCAGAAGGCCATTGATGGGCCAAAACCGACTAAAGGTGGTTATGCAGGAGGTGCTTCTTCTGGGCATCATCAGCCGTACCAGCAGCACCAGCAAGGGCAACATCAGAATCAGTCTCGTTACCATCATGCTAAGAAGGGGAAGTACTCTTCTAGTGGATCAGAGACCGGTCATTTGATGGCTCCATCTGGGCCTGCTGCATTGGGAGTGGGGTTTAACCCTGAAGTTGCTGCTGCTGGGTTGAACCCTGGGGTGGCTTTTACTGCTCCAGCTTTAAACCCAGTGCTTGGACAGGCTTTAACTGCGTTGCTTGCTTCTCAGGGTTCTGGTTTGGGGCTCGGTAATCTGCTTGGAGGGTTTGGTGGTGCCCCTGTGAACCAGGGAGCACCTGCTGCAGGTTATGGGGGTCAGGTTACAGGAGGCTACGGGAACCAGATGGGAGTACAGGGTGGGTATCAGAATCCACAGATGGGGCAGGGCGGTGCTGGTAGGAATCAGCCTGGTGGCGGTGCTCCTTACATGGGATAGTGGGTAAGCCCCAAGGTAACCAAATATTTTTTTTGTGGTTTATTAACTTTTTTTTCTTTTAGCATTTGCCTCGTCTTTATGCACGATAGACCTCACATAAATAGACGACAAAACTAATTGAGTTATATGTTTTACTGCATAACTAAATATGATCTCACAGTATGGGGATGGCTTTGTGTGGGTCAGGTTTGTTTATTGCGAAGCGGAAAAATAAATGAGTAGTACATGTTACATGTTTGCTTTAAGTTTTTTCAGCACATGAAGTTTGTTGCAAGTGTCAACAGTATTCAGCTGTTGGCTCGTAATTAATTTCACCACAATTGAAAGACTACAGCACTTAGTATGTTTTATTTTGAAGTTAATTGTTGAATACTAGTTTTACAAGCTGTCTGGTTTGGTGAGTTTGATTAATCCTCTTAAGATGGATGGTGTAGATTATTGAGTTTGGGTCTTAACTTATCTATTTTCTGATGATACATATGGTCTACTACCAAAAATTTATAACTATTTATTTTTTGTTAAATTTTATTTGTAATTTTAGTTACCTCATTCCTAAACATATGAAACACTTTCTTTCATCTCTCTCTTTTTTTCTTCTCATTGCCAAACTTAAATTTTAGTTGGTTAAATTTTGTTAACAAAAATCATATTTGGTTTTGCCAAAGGTATGGAAATTCATTTCATCTCTCTCATGGATCTTTTTCCGTAAATCTTTAGTTTTTAAAAGTTGTTTTTTATGATTTTATTCATTGTGCAGATTCTCTCATAGATGCATCAATCATTTTGTTTTCGACTGGTGATTCTGAAGTTCAGGAACTCATGCAAACGTGGTCTTTAAATTTGTAACAAAAAATGCCTACTATAAAGATCAGAGATCTCAAACCTGTATTTTCGTTTCTATTTTAGTAGTTTCCCCCTCGCTTATTTTAAAAAAGATGTACTATTTCGGCTTGATGATTTGTTTCTTGAAAATTGTTGGGGAACTGGTAGAATTTCCTGGCAGTGGACAGAGTGCCTTTTAAGGTTTTCAACTGTGTTGCTCAAACAATTAACATTTTCGTATTTTTTTTCTTAAATCAACTGATGTTTTATGGTGACTGTTTGTTATTAATTTAGTTTAATGTGAGGCAGCCTTGTTTTTCTGGGTATTGTTTATATTTTCTTGACGACTAGTGGTTTTATAAACTTGCTTTACCTTATTAATTGCATGGAATTGTTTCCTCGTGTATGGTTCCCCCGTTTAACTCCTTATAGAATAGGTTAATGTGTTGTTACTTTTGTTCTATGCTCTTTAGCATAACAGATGGAGTCTGGATGAAATGAGATTTCAAACTGCAGGTACGATGGTCATGTAGTCCCGCCTGCCTGCTTACACGTAATGTATTCTTAACAGAAGTGCCACCAGCTTCTACTAACCTTCCAGCCCCAGGCCCCCTCCCCCCTGTCCTTGTGTGGATAACCTTTGCATTAGGGAGGGGAACGAATGGAGTTTTTGGTGTTCGATGGCTGGTGAAATGGCTTCTTTGTCTTCAATGACACCATTTGTTGTTTCCTTGAGTTGTTTGTGATGGGGGAGATGGAATCAACTTGACTTGGAAGGCTATAGATGTTTTGTATCATACCAGTTGTTCATGTATGTGCTTGTGAATGTCCCTCGTCTTGTTTGAGGGACTTGGATAAAGGATCTGCTAGTAGTTTATTTCGATGGGACAGCAGGACCAGTGAAGCCGAAGAATGTATTCCATCTGGAGGCATAATATGCTGTCCATAAATGCCCTCATATCTGGATTGCCTTGCTGCCTAACTTAAATTGCAGCTCCTGATTATTGCTCTTGATGCATGTAAGACATGAATACTAGACTAGATTGATATATTTATCTATAACCAGTGAAAAAACAGCGTTGTTTGGTGGACAATGGATTGGTTACTCTCTTTGAGAGATAAACTTGATTTGGATGAATAAATAAATTTTGAGTTAATTGAATTGAATTTACTAAGTTATTAGATTTTTTAAGTTAATTTCGATTTTTTTTAATTTCAATAAACAAATTTATATTTTTAGATGGTAAACCAAGTATTTAGTTATTCGACTGTCATTTTGGTTAATTAGCCACTATTCTTTTAAAAAGTATCTCTAATGTCATATTCTGATTTTATTTGTCATTCGTAAAAGAAATTAATAAGATTGTTAATGAAATATTTTTTTATTTTAATAATAATATGATATTATTTGATATTGTTTTATGTTGACATTATTATCATTGTTAATTTTTTTAATTGTGGTCTATTATTTTATGGTGATATATTATTATTATTATTATTGTTAATTTTATTGTTCAATTTTTTTAATTGTGGCCTATGAGTGTTCAAAAAAAATTAAATATAATATTTATTATGATTTTGAAAAAAAAATAATTAGATAATTAAAATCAATTAAAATAATAATTTTTTAACAATAACAATTGAATTTTATTAATAATAGAAGAAATTAAAATTATAACGCATTAATATATATATATATATATATGTTATTTGTCATAGTTTGTATTGTTACTTATAACGATTAAAAGCATAGATATTTTGTTAATATTATAATTGCGTAACGTTTTAATATATTTTGTATGATTTATTTTATTTAAATTTCGATACAACTATGTATTTGAGTCACAATTATTTTATTTTTTAACATTATGTTTTAGTCATTTTAGTATTTTATAATTATTGTTTGTTCATTCCATAAAAGCGAAATTTTTTATAATAATAATTCAATTTTTAAATTAAATCGATATTTATATATTCAGTGACAGATGCAAGACTTTTTTAAGGTGAGCACGTGATTACTCTAAATTTTTTATTTTTTTTATTTTAGTTATTTATTTTATTAATGGTATTCACCCGAAAATTTTATTTATGTCCGGTTGTCCACCCATACAATTTTCTTATTATTATTGTATATGTACTCACCCTAAAAATATTATTAATCCATCATTATATATTAATATAAATTACGTTAAACTAAAAATTTTACTTTACATTACATAGCTTAGTAAAAGAATATAATTTTTTTGTACTTCAGAAACTTGTGGTATGTATTTATTTTACAAATAAATTTTAGTATATTTCACATGTCACGTCACTAAAATTTTTTAATATTAAATCTATTAATATAAACAAAAATATAAAACTTAAATTGATAAAAGTTTCCCTTAAAAGAAATCCTATTTTAGATACATCTTAATCTTAATTGAAATAAAATTCTATTAAAATATTATTTAAATGTATAACTAAAGAATTATAAATAGTCGGAGTCGTTTTAAACAGCATTTAGGGCTTTTGACAATTAGAGATCCAATTCAGTCATAAAACCCACTAAATATATAATCACTGATAGAATTCTCCTTTGGAGTCATTGTCTTCGTTTGGCGGCTGGTGAGAGATCATGGTGATGGTTGAGAATGAAGCAGCTGGTGATCATAAGGGGGTCAAGTCACCGTGGAAGACTCCGGTTATTGACGCTCAGAAAGTGGCCGATGCTCATGTTATGGGGACCGAATCTTGGCCTGATCTTGGTGGGACCCAACAAATTCCCGACAAACCTTCCGTCGTTGCTGACGAGTCTGCTGGAGTTCCATCAATTGAGCAGGCTAGCCATTGCCATTTTTTTTTAATTCTGGTTTGGTTATTTTTATTCTAAAGGTGGTCAATCACGTTTGAGTGTGAAGTTTGATTAAAGTTGGAAATATCTAGGTGTAATCTGAGGTGCTTTTACTAAAATTAATCTCAAAGGGACGACTTGTGAATGTTGAGCGCCAATGATGTATTGCTTTTCTGGTTTCTATTCGTTGGTTCTGTTTTCATTTTGTTGAATGCTAAAACGATTATTGTAGGCCTTATTTTGAAATGACGAGGAATTGGAATATAAACTCCGATGAAAAATTTTAATGGACCTTTATGGAATGTAACTTCTTTGAGAAAATCCCCACATAATTTTGTCATCTCTGAATCTGGATCCTGTTGAGTTGGGACTTATTTGATTGTTGGTAATTTACTTTTCTGCGTTTTATGGTTTTACCCAAATATGTAAGAAAGAAGATAAAAATGAATAATGTTGTTGTCTCAGTATATTTCAATTGAACTATTTATCAAATTTTTGGGTCTTGCAGGGAGCTGCTGGGCAGCAAAAACCAAATGGGTCTGGAAACACCAATGCTTCTCATAGATATCCATCAGCAAAGCATCAGAAGTCAGGCTCTAAGCACAATCCTAATGCTGGACCTCGATTTCTTGTACCCTCACCTAATTATGAACCACCAATGCCACCTGTTTTTCATGCCGTGGCACCTCAACCACATGTTAATGTCCCTGGGTATGCTTACCACCCTGACCCAGGACCTTTTCCTGGTGTAGAACTTCAGTTTGTAAAATCCGGTTCTGAGGCAGCAAAGCATGTCTTTGGTCCCCCTGAACAAAGTATTAATGCCAGCAGAAATATGCGGCATCCACAAGGAGATTTTAATGCATATCCTGCCAATTTCTCTAATAGAAAGCCCAACATGCAAGAAACTGGTGGGCATTTTAATCCTGGATGGAATCATCAACGAAAATTTAATCCTGGAGAACATAATACCGTGCAGCAGGGTATTGGACCAAGACCTTTTGTGAGACCTCCATTCTTTGGTCCAGCTCCATGGGTCGTTGTTGGTCCAAATTTCCCTGGTAATATATCAATCCTGCAACAATGTGCCTTCATTCAAAATACTTCAGTATGTTTTATTACATCTTACTTTGTTAAGTTTCCTTAATCATGTCCATTGGCAAGGTTTGGCCTGCATCTCAGTCACCCAGCTTATACTGCCTTCTTGTTTGAGCTGTTGATTTATACTATGCCTTTGATAAATGAAATCTGTTTGATATGACTTATGCATACCTTCTAGGGGCTGTATATTATGTTCCTGTTGCTCCCCCAGGCTCTGTAAGGGAACCTCATCCTCCACCCTTTGTTCCATGCCCTATGAATCCAGGGACTGCCATGTTTCCTCCTGAGATTGTAATTTTGAGGGCCAATATAGTGAAACAAATTGAGTATTATTTCAGGTATTGATTCTTTCTATTCTTATTTATTTAATAATGTGTCTTATATGGTTTCTTATGTGTTTTACTTTTTCCTGCTTTACTGCTGGATGCACTGCTAAATTCTATACTACACACCTCCTGCGTCCATGTATCACTACTGATTGCATTTGTTGGTATTTTTTTATTTATCTCTTTGTTGGTGTAAATGATTGATCCATCCTTTATGCAAATCTTTTCATGTTTGAGTCTGTTTGTGTATACACATGTTATTTATGGGGTGATTTAAAATTTAGCTACCTTATGAGAAATTGATGGTATGCTATCTATTTTAGAATTTTGTTAACCTGCAAAATGTATTGAATGCATGCTATTGTGAGTTTTGATGGAAAATCACATTTTTAGCTTTTTGGCATGAGTTTCATGGGTACTGTAACCAGCACATCTATTGGGAAGTCAAATACGAACTTTTGATTGTTCATACTAATTGAATGTCATAAATTGATTTGCTTTTACAATTTTATATATAATGTGTGTATGTTATTGATCTCAATTCTTTTTTTTGCAGTGATGAAAATCTTAAAAATGATCGTTACTTGATTTCGTTGATGGATGATTTTGGTTGGGTTTCAATATCCAAAATTGCAGATTTTAAAAGGGTATTGCTACTTAACACCAATGGTACTATAGCATTAAATTTTGCTTTATCCATGGTGGTTGCATTTTTAACTAATTGAATTATATTTTTTTAATAATTTTTCTTTATCTACATCTTGAGAAGTATTAGTTTAAAGCATTTGTGGTTTAACAATTTGTGTCGCAGGTTAAGAGGATGAGTACCAACATACAATTCATTCTTGATGCCCTACTGGTCTCTTCTACTATAGAAGTGCAGGTTAGACTTTTCTCTCTCTCTCTTGGGTGTCGCTATTTAAAATTTGATTCTGGATAGAATGTATGCAAGTTATTTTATGGAATAATTGTTGTAGTTACATTGGCAAGTGATACTGTTTCCTGGCACTAACGGCCTTATCTTTACTTAATAATTATTGTTGTAGGGTGATAAGATACGGAGATATGATGAGTGGTCCAAGTGGGTTCCCGTTAATTCGAAGACAACACTGTCATCTGATTTTCTGCCCACTAATGACCAACTTGTAGAGAACGTTACTGATTCTGGTGGAACTGGTGGTGTGGAAGAAGATAATTCAAGGAACACCTCTGAAGAAAATGTTAGATTTCCGTAGTGTGGTGGGAAAAGAAACATGGTTCAGAGGAAAATCTTGTAGGGGTAACACATAAAAGTCACAGAAAACATGCAACTGCACAAGTTCTGTTTAATGACGAGAAACAAACATTTTCCAATGGAAATCCCGACTGGAACAGGAAATTAATTTCCGACTTAGATGTGAACTTTACACATTTGTGATTGACACCACAACCGAGAATTCAGTGTGGGAATTAGAAACTAATTTCCTGTTCAAGTCGGGATTTCCGCTAGAAAATGCTTGTTTCTTGACGTGGAATCAAATTTGTGCAGTTGTATGTTTTCTGTAGAAAGTGTAAACTGATTTTACACTAAATTTCCACACTAATTTCACAGACCTGAAAGTGTGGACTTATTAGATGTAACACTAGAAAGCGTGAACTGATTTTACACACATTTATGCTGGATGAAGAGCCTGGAGCTTGAGCAGAAAAAAAAAATCTAAAGACTCAATCAGCTCTTAGTAGGTGATTTTTTTTTTATTTTAATAGGGCACGTTTTGTATATTGTTGAGGTGAAGAAATTTTTATTTCCTGTATGAACACATACAAACATGTCTAGATTAATGTTCCATTGAATATATTTTTTGCATATTTCTAAATGGCTGTTATCTCATTATGGTTCATTTACATGAACAATGTGATCCT